TTCCTGTATCTTTCACATTCTTTGCTTCTTTTTGCTTGGCAGAGCCATCTTCGATTTTCTTTTAGTGTCATAATATTCCAAGCTGCTTCTGGACTGCTTCTTTTTCTCTATAAGTCCCAACATCCACAACTTCTCAATACAGGTTAAGATATCTCCTTTCTAATTCTGGACATGCAATTCTCTTGCACTAAAATGTCCTGGTTTTCTATTGTGTTTTAAGATAAATGCATATTTCCCAAATTGTCATAAGTGATCTTCCACAATGCATAAACTATCCTTACAAGATTTTCTCCATTCTAATCCCACAGTAAACTATATAGCACATTCTGGGAGGATAATCATGAGAAACGTTACATGTCTGTTAAATAAATAAACATTTATTGTCTTTTGGTTAAGCTTGATTATCCACTGGTAACTTACAATACTATATGCATTAAGATCTCAGTTCCCTTGGTCCAGGATGTATGAAATATTTACTTCATAAGAGAATCCTAAATGAGTTGACAGATATGTTATCTTCCTATTTTTGCATATCAATATCCCATCCGCCTTTCAAAACTCCATCATAAAGTCATCACTGTTTGTTACTCAAAAAAAATCCTTGTTTTCACATCCAGATAGCTCCTAGCTGTGTTTTAATCCACTCTAGCACCTTGTTTCACCTGTTATTCTTCCTTTGCTCTACCATATAATATAGTAATTTGCATGTTTATGTGATTCTCTGTTGTTCCACAACTTGCGAACCAATTTGTGGAAAATGGAATTTTTTTAGAGCTACATCCTTCCCAAATATTCTCTTTTCAGCTACCCCTTGCTGATTCTACAGAACACATATGGCTCTGCTCAATATTGTTTGGAATCTACAGTATTCCGTTTATATGTCATGGTCAAGCAGGGAGGGGCCTTGCAATGTCAGCATCTCTGTTGATCTAAAGTCCTAAATTATGCTTCGAGTAAACTTTATAAGAGACAAATGGAAGATGATGTGTGTGGGCTAGTGGTGAGTATATATTTCCTACTGTTGCATTGCCCCCTTATTGCCAAATTCCCCTCTAATAAATATCTTCCAACGACAAAGAACAAGATGGTTGGATGGCATCAATGGACATGAGTTTGAGCAAGTTCCAGAAGATGGTAAAGGACAGGAAGCCTGGCGTGCTTCAGTCCATGGAGTTGCAAAGAGTGGGACACAACTGAGTGACTGAACAACAACAATCTTGTTTGGAAATATATAGTCATTGAAGGAAAGAAAGTTAAGCAGGTAATACAATTGTATTAGATGTTTCAGGCAATCAATAACTTAGGTAGGGAGTGATAACATGTTTTTTCATGGTCTTCTGCCTTTTAAAAGAAAAGGTGAAAATCCTAGAATAATGACTTTTTGCATGCATTCTGGAGCCAAAGGAGAGACTGACAGATTGTTTTGGGGCAGAGTACTCTGTCATGTTCTGTAAGGCTGGGGTCATCATAGCTAGAGGTATGAGCAAAACAGGCAAAAATAACTCTGGCTATGAGGGAAGAGGTTGGTTTTGCTGGAAAGTGTTCTTGTACATGTGAAAGATGTCTTTGCATAACAGAAGAAAATTCCCTTGAATTATGAGCTGAAGAGTTGCCAAGTTTTGTTCACTTGTAGAATCATCACACTCAATAAGTAGCAACAAAAGAATATTCCTAAACAAAGGAAAATTTCAGAAAAAGAGAAGAGAAAAGGGAAGGAAAAGGAGAATATGAGATGCTGTATAGTCATAGCTATGATTTTTCCAGTAGTCAAGTATGGTGTGAGAGTTGGATCACAAAGAAAGCTGAGCATAAGATGGTAAAGAACAGGAAGCCTGGCGTGCTTCAGTCCATGGAGTTGCAAAGAGTGGGACACAACTGAGTGACTGAACAACAACAATCTTGTTTGGAAATATATAGTCATTGAAGGAAAGAAAGTTAAGCAGGTAATACAATTGTATTAGATGTTTCAGGCAATCAATAACTTAGGTAGGGAGTGATAACATGTTTTTTCATGGTCTTCTGCCTTTTAAAAGAAAAGGTGAAAATCCTAGAATAATGACTTTTTGCATGCATTCTGGAGCCAAAGGAGAGACTGACAGATTGTTTTGGGGCAGAGTACTCTGTCATGTTCTGTAAGGCTGGGGTCATCATAGCTAGAGGTATGAGCAAAACAGGCAAAAATAACTCTGGCTATGAGGGAAGAGGTTGGTTTTGCTGGAAAGTGTTCTTGTACATGTGAAAGATGTCTTTGCATAACAGAAGAAAATTCCCTTGAATTATGAGCTGAAGAGTTGCCAAGTTTTGTTCACTTGTAGAATCATCACACTCAATAAGTAGCAACAAAAGAATATTCCTAAACAAAGGAAAATTTCAGAAAAAGAGAAGAGAAAAGGGAAGGAAAAGGAGAATATGAGATGCTGTATAGTCATAGCTATGATTTTTCCAGTAGTCAAGTATGGTGTGAGAGTTGGATCACAAAGAAAGCTGAGCATCAAACAATTGATGCTTTTGAATTGTAGGACTGGAGAGGACTCCCAAGAGTCCTCTTGTCTGCAAGGAGATCAAACCAGTCAATCCTAAAGGAAGTCAACCTTCAGTTTTCATTGGAAAAACTGATGCTGAAACTCAAATAATTTGTCCACCTGATACAAAGAGCCAATTCATTGGAAAGGCTTGGAGAGATTGAAGGCAAAAGAAGAAGAGGGTGGCAGAGGATGAGATGGTTAATGCTATCTAACCATCTCATGGACATGACTGAATGGACATGAATTTGAGCAAAGTCTGGGAAGTAGTGGAGGACAGAGGGTCCTGGTGTGCTGCAGTATCTGGGGTCACAAAGAGTAGGACATGACTTAGTGACTGAACAACAATAATGAGATGATATTTGCTCTTAGATTATAAGACTGGAATCTTATGTGTCTGCATCATGTCCAACTCTTTTGCGAACCTATGGACTGTAGAGCCTGCCAAGCTCCTCTGTCCTGTGGAATTCACCAGGTAATAATACTGGGGTGGGTTTCTATGCCCTCCTCCAGGGGATCTTCCCAACCCAGTGACAACCCATGTCTCTTCTCTTATGTCTCTTGCACTGGCAGGCAGGTTCTTTACTGCTAGCGCCACCTGGGAAGTCCATATGTATTTGAGAGTTCACCAAATAGAGTGTTCTAATAGCATTTCATCCTTCACAAATTTTCACTCACTTTCTCTCTATCTTTCTTGTCTTTCTTTCATCTTCATCCACCTTCCCATCTACCTTTTTATTTCATTTCTACCAGGATATTGGATGGAATATTTCCCATTGTCTGTTGTCTAGGAATCCTTGCTAAAGCCCAAATTATGCTACAAAACCAGCCCAGCAACATCACTGCCTTCTTCTGGAGAGTTTGGCCCCCACTGCAGGTTATCTGGAAGCAGTTGAACAAGCTGAGTAACCCTAATCCAGTCACTTCTCTCCAGTCTCTATAGAGGTTTAGTCTATTTGGAGGGTTTCGTAATTCAGGGACCTAATAGGGGATATTTGATTATTGACAAAGACAGTCTAAAAGGAAAGAATGGTATTTCACTCCCCAGTTTGTTTATGAGTCCAGCTTCCTGGTCTACTCTGTGTCTATGTGACCAGGCAGAGAATTGTCCAGAGACCCCAAGAGGGGATCAAATGCACACCAGTATTTCTGCCATTCAGTTGTTTGGAGTGTTGATGATACATGGGTTTCTGGTGGGTCAGCTAGTAGGCAGCTGACCTTAAGCCAATTAATTTTCTCCAGTTGGGTGTTTGCAGAGTGAAGGAAACAGAGAGGCTGTGGAGAATACTGTAGGTGGGGAGTTGTGGGTGCTAGAACATTTCCCCAGGTTAAAAAAGAAACTATGCTGACGAGTATCTGCAACTTATGAATGTCCTGGAAAATCACAAGGGTGCCCCACAAGTCAGATGTTTGTCAATCGGGGGGAATTGCAGATCAGTCTCTCTTAACCATGAGAAGGCTATATCAGCGCGACATAAGTCAGTGATGTCAGAACTTTCCCATCTTATCACCCCTTGCCTACTTCCAACATGGCCCAAGGAATGGAGATCTAGAGAGGGAGAGAAGGAACTTTGCAGAAATGGACATATCTGCCTTCCCTGGTAGGTCCCCCAGGGCCTCAGTAGGGGAGAGAGAAACATTAAATAGTTTGAATACGAGATGGAGTTGACACTTAACTGACCTGGACTTGTTAAACTCGGAGTCATAGAATGTATGGAATGGTTGCAAGATGATGCAGAAAATGAGGATGCAGTGGAGTGTGGGTGAAGACAGCCACTGGAGGAGGATGGAGCCAGTTCATGTTTGTATCTGCTCTGGTCCCAACATTTGTGTCCCCCAGAAATTTCATATGTTGAAATCCTGACTCCCATGGTGATGGTGTTTCATAGGTGAGACCTTTGGGTGGTGATGAAGTTATGGAGGTGATGAAGGATGGAGTCTCCTGGATGAGATGACTGCTTTCATATATAAGAGACACACGGAGTTCTCCAGCCCTTCCCCGACATGAGGATGCAGTAAGAAGTGTGTGACCAGAAGAGGGACCTGCCTGACCATGCAGTGGAAATCCATTTCCATTGTTTTTAAATGTTTTTAAGTCTGTGATATTTTGTTATAGCAGCCCAAAAGGACTAAGACTGCATTATAACAATCTTTAGACGGTTCAGTAAACCTCATGCTCTTTGAGCACACTAGTTGAAAGTTGGTTGACATTCGTAAAACAATCCTGAGAATTCAGTCTTCTTGGTAGCATGACCAACAGAATGAATGATTATCTAATTCTTTAATTCTAACAATTTGACCCAGAATAATTTTCTGTGATTCTAAAGTAAGTTGTTAATGGTCTTCTTTGTAACGTCAGTTTCTGCCATTTGTGACAAATTTTAATCGGAACTTCTTTCTGTCAATCATAAGGAAGGATTTTCATTTGGTTGTCTATTAAATGAAGATAAGAAACACTGACAAAATTGCCGTCTTAGATTTTGACATCTCTACAGTCTGTTTTTATTGAAGATGAAACCCATTGGAACCAAGCATGCATTAAAAAAAACTATAAAGCTCAGAGAAGTTTGCCAGGAAATGGATCATTAAGAAGCATCTCAGAAATGGATAGGATGAATGTGGGCTTAGCAGTTGTTGTTGTAGATGATTCTGCAATTCAGGAGCTTAAGGTAAGTGTCAATCTTGCTTGAATCCCTGCGCAGGCAGTGGAGCAGGTTATAAAAAGCAGAATGACGCGCATCTTCATCCTTGGTTTGCAGGGAAGGGAGTCCGGACCACACAGGGTAGGGCTCAGTCTCTTTGGCTCCAGGAAGAACCTAAGCATCCAAAGGATAATGAGTTATTATGAGTTTTAGTAGTATTTGCTCATCTTTGTTCTTTCTAATTATCAAATTAAAAATTGGGGAAGATACATGAAAGTCTCCACACTTGGATTTTGGAGCCAGTGTCATCAGATATCTGCTAGTAATTTTCTGATAAAAACTAAAAGCAGAACTCAAGTGTTAGTTTGGTTTTGACTTTCTCTTTTCTTTCTTCTCACTCTCATCCTATGGTTTGAGTAGAACAGAGAAAGAATACAAGCTGAATTTCAGTAGAGGATATCTTGGGATATTTTGAAAAAAAATATTTATCTTGCAAATTTTATTCTCTAGTTCTCTTATCCTTGAAAATATTTCAGCCATCTGTACCCAGAAAGGGGCAAGATTTTGGTGGAACTGTGCAATTCAAGAAAGACTATACCTGTCAAAAATTGCTGTGGAATTCTCATTCACTGACAATAGAATCTATCACTATGAGTGAACAGGTTCTTGCTATATGTAATAGCAGTCTAGAAAAAGAAGGCCTGAATTGTGTTCTTACACTGAGATCGTTCAAAACTCATTCCTCATTACAGAAATCACCTCTCTCATCCATGAGAATAGCAAGGAAGCCTTCATGAGGCTGCTCACCTGGCCAAAGATCATCTCCATGCCTTCCAGAAGTCGTTTGTTTTCTTCCTCAATCTCTATGGCCCTCGATAGGATAGCATCTGGGGCTCCTTTCATACCCCGCACCTCCGTGACTAGGTGATACAGAGGGTCATTCCAGGAGCGCAGCAACCCAAGAATCAAACTCATAAGGACTTCATGCTAAACAACCACAGGAAAGAATCTCATTAAAATAAGCATAATTCAGTGGATTTGGTAACATGTGATTTTTGCTCAGAGTGACTGACCTAAAAAACTCCTGGTTTTTCCTATATGTACTGAAAATTTTTTGAAGGTGGTAAAGGTTGCAAAATTATAAAATGTAAGCTATCGGCTTATACTTCGCTAAAATACTTAAAAATCTGACTTATTTTGGTAACCAATTTTTCTGATGAGTTCTAATTTATAACATAAAGAATTTTCTTTTTCCCTCTGAAGTTCTACCATCCACTCAGTGAGTTCTTTTATATTTGAATGCTTTGCTTGTCTGGGGAGAGGAATCTACGTATTTTGTTGGAACTCGGTATGTGCCTGGAGTACCTGACCCAGGAAGGAAGGAATCTACCTGTGCCCACCCCATTTTCACCCAATGATTCATTCATATTAATGAATTGAAGTATTCATTAATGTATTTTTAGTTTTTGATTGGTAGTTCCTTTTATGATATTAGAACAAAGAGGATATAAAGAAGATATGACATTGCTAACCACACTTTCCTCAATCCATCCCTCATCCATCCAGCCCTCATGCAGCTATCAGAGCAGTCTATTTTGTTGACCTGTGTAAGGGCAGAAAATGACACAGTGTTGTCTTTAGCAACAGCATCAGTGGGATTCACAATGGAAGATTTTGCCCCCCTACCAGGACTGGACATGAAACTCCCAGAGGCTGAGCATCTCTAATTAAAATGCTTGATTTCTTGATGGCCATGAACTACTTTGATGGTACAGGAAATGAACAGCAGAGAAGAATCAAATAGACATTATAATAGAAACATGATGGGATGTGAGAGTAAGGAGCTGAAATGAAATTCAGACTCTAGGGTGAGTGGCAGCATAGTTTTCCTGGGGGTGTTGTAGCTTAAAGATGAAAACTGAGAGCTCTGAGTTGGTTGAAACCCAGACTCACTGCTCACTACCTGTGTGACTGGTACAAATTCCACAATTTTTCTGAGTCTTGGTTTCCATATTTCAGGAAGTGTAATAACAGACACTGTGCTACAGGAATTTTTGTGAGGATTAAACATAGTAATGAAAACAAAGCACTTTATAAATTGTTTGGTAAGGTAATAACTCTCAATAAATTTTAAATTTATTTTAAACTCATTTTAAAAAGTCCTCCTCCTTGTTCTTCTTGACCTTCTTCCTTCATTTTATCATCCTCGTTATTAAGGAGATTAGCAGATGAAAACAATGCTGGTATCACTAACAAAGCAAGAGAACAGATTGTACTTAAGGGGAGATGCATGTAGAAATATTTTAAATAATGTTAGAACTGTGGTTAGCTCAGGAAATCAGAAAGGAGCGATTATAATGATAAAAATTTGGAGCTGGGATACACGATTGAGGTTTATCAGTAGATGATGTGGTCATCAGAACAGAGGCAATCATCACAGCCATGAGAAGCAAAACATAATATTTTTTAGGACCCATTTTGAGGGGAGATTTATAATTAAAAATAAGAGGTGACAGAGGAGTCAGTCAAGAATGAGGTAGATGTCAGAGAAGTAGGAGAATCAGGTGAGCCTTGAAAGGCAGAATTGGTGGCTCAAGTGGTGCAGTGAAGGAGTGACTCCCATGGAGGAGTCACTAGTAACAGGGAATACTCAACACTGGGGTTGTGTTTCTTACATATCCATGAATTTTTTAAATCTGTATTTTATACATGGATGTTCCATTTACTTCATGTTTTCATACAGTATAATGGCTGCAATCCTGGATCTAATGCATTGGTTGAACTTATGTTGTCTGCATGGACAGTTTATAGATCTGTTATTTATTTTGCTGCTACAGATCTTTATAGGCATCCCTTGTTTTACTCATATTTCATCAACTGCATAATGTAATTCCTCTTTGATTATTTACTGTTTCTCCACCTTTCTCTGCATGTCCAGTTACCATTACCTCTAATAACCTGAAGCCTGGTAACACCAGGGCACTGTCCCACTTGTTCTGGTGAAAACCCGGGTAGAAGACTCACGTGGGTCTGTTGGGCTTGTTCTTTGTCTTCAGGGGTAGGGAGGGAGGAGGTATGGCAGCTGTTGAGAGCCATGGTAATGAACCCTTTGCCCTGGGCATACCGTTTATCCTGGAAGCGATCAAGCAAATTCAATTCGTTAGGGTTCTTTCGGCAATCAATAAATGAACCTTTAGCAGAATATTAACACGTTTGATAGATTAGTAATTTTTTAATGAGAGTCACATAAAAATTGAAACTAATTCTTTTTCCTACTTTTTCTTCCCATTATCTCTGAAAACAGTTGCCTTTCATCTGAATTCCAACCTCTTTCCTTCTTTTTCTTTCCCTTGTCTCATTTCACCCTTCCCATAGTTACTATTTGGATAGCAAAGACTAAAAATAACCCCAATATGAAATATTAACTGCTTTATTAAATATCATCTTTTTTAGTATTTGAACCAAATATAGTGCATATGTATGATACCTATATAGACATTTAATCTTTTGTTTACTTTGGGTTGGAACCAATATACTCCCTTAAAAGAAGACATAATTATAACTTTTATTTGACTAATATGAGTCCACAAACCTAAGCTTAGTATGCATCACAGATACAGAATACAGTGTCATTGATGATAAGAAAATGGTAAGTCAGAAAAACATGGCATAAAATTTTTGGAAATAGTAAGCAATGGACTGAGAAGGGGAGTAGAAATAACTAGCTAACACATTGATAGAGAAAGCCTAATCTTTAGCAAAAATTGTGAACATTTGAAGAGATTACTTCGAAGATCTGGAAAAAAGATAACAGTCAAAATGGAAGATGAAAGGAAAACTAGTGAATAAAAAGAACTATATGAATTTAATAGAAACATTGAGGACAATTTTTTATCAGTTGTCTACTGTGGGCTCCTTGGTTGACATAAAAGAGTATACAACTTTCAAAGTAATTTCATCAGAAAGAGAATAATTTTGTTTCCAATTATAAACCAACCATTCTATTGTAGTTCTAAATCCATATATTGCACATCTTAGAACAGTAATTTGTAGCATTTAAAAAACTATCATTATTTGTTTTCATTACAGGAATTCAGCTCTGTCTAGTGTGTTCCATCCACCCAGTTCACTGAAGTACAGTTCCCATTTATTGGCTATTTACTGTGTGCTGGGTGAAGAACGCCCAGAGGGACACTGAAGGACCAGAAAATCAAGATGCTTCTTTTTCCCAACCCTACCTAAGAGTGCATTATGTCAGGTACTGTTACGAACTGAATGTGTCTCCCCCCAGTTCACGTGTTGAAGCAAAAATCTCCAAGGTACTGTGCTTGGAAAAGGGCCTTTATGCAGACTGTGTGCAAGCTACCTCGCTTCAGTTGTGTACCACTATTTGGGACCCTGTGGACTGTAGCCCTCTAGGTTCCTCTGTCCATGGAGATTCTCCAGACAAGAATACTGGAGTGGGTTGTCATGCCCTCCTCCAGGGGATCTTCCTGACCCAGGGATTGCACCTGCATCTTTTATGTCTTCTGCATTAGCAGGCAGGTTCTTCCCCGCTAGCGCCACCTAGGAAGCCCTTATGAAGATTGAAAATGAAAGTGAAAATCGCTCATTTGTGTCCCACTCTCTGTATAGTCTGTAGAGTCTGTAGAGTCTGTATAGTCCATGGAATTCTCCAGCACAGAATACTGAAGCAGGTAGCCTTTCCCTTCTCCAGGGGATCTTCCCAACCCAGGGATCGAACCCAAATCTCCCACATTGCAGGCGGATTCTTTACCAGCTGAGCCACAAGGGAAGCCCAGAAGATTATGAAGATTAATTAAAGTTAAATGAGCTCGTAGGGTGGAATACTGATCCAATATATTTAGAGTCTTTATAAAGAGAAGCACCAGAGAGTTTTCTCTTTTATCTCTGTGCCTTTCCTGTTTCTCTTCCCTGCCCCCAACCCTGTGAGACACAGGGAGAAGCCAGCCTGGGTAGACAGAGCCCTTACCAGAAACTGACCTTGCTGGCACCCTGATCCAGGACCTCCAGCCCCCAGAAGTGCGAGGAAATAAAATTCTGTTGTTTAATCCACTGAGTCTATGGTATTCTGCTATGAGAGTCCAAGCTGACAAATACAGGTGTTTTAAATTTATTTTGGAAATTTAACAAATATAAGGAAATTGAAACAGGTATTTCACTCTTTAAGAATCTTTGAGATTTCATGATATATCTTTTCTTCAGTTACCACATCTTATGAACTAATGTCTTATTTGACCTAGAAAATGCATTCTTTGAAGTTTGGCTGATGCAGCCTTCTTGTTTAAAGGATGGTATAGCCCAGTCACATACACAAAGGTTTCTTCTGGAAATAAGCAAGAAATACAGTACTTACAAATTCGTTGAACATTTCCGAGGAGAGGTTATGGATGTAGTGGGACACCATGACTGCCCGGTCAAACAGGTCTCGAAGGGACACCTGGCAGTTGCCAGCCCCATTGGGACAGACAGGAGTGGAGACCACACCCTGGCACAAGAGTAGATTTGACACCACCAGCAGCAGGAGCAGGCGGGACCCTGCTTATATAAAAACATGAGTCACTCAGATGATGTATTAGCCCAAGGTCAGCAAAAGCCATCCTGTCCAGGGAGGCCTCATCTCTCCCTGTTGCCCTGAGCAGGATTTGGTGCTGTAGCAGCTGGGGTGGGGAAGAAGCAACACCTTCCACTGTGTAAATTTAGATGGATGATGATATTTGCACAGATATATAGTTGCAGAAGTAGGTTACCCCCTGCATTTTTGTATTGCTCCCAGAAGTGCTCCTGTGTTCTGCAAACATTTGGAATTTAAATTAATGTGAGTCAGAGTGTTTAGGTCATTCTCCTATGATAGTTTAATATCTTGGGATTCTCTACAGATTCTCAGCAGCTTGTAGGAGTTTGTAATTTTTTCACTGTACACTGTACACTGTACACTGTTCACTGTACACTGACATTTTAGACACTGAAATGGCAAGAACAGCACAGATGATCTGTATGGTTTACCATCACGGTGGGTAAGAAGAAACACATGACTGCTTGAACCCTATTATTGAATACAAAGAGAATACAAAGAGAATACTAAGAGAAAAAGGATACTGCGTCTTGGATCTGCTCACTCAACTTAATAACCCCATCCACTTCCTTGATACTTTGCTAAAAGCTTTTAAAGCTCTGTAAAATTTGTGTTTCATGATAATCCTCTGAGATAGCCTTGGCCTTCACTGTGTTATTGTTGTTGTGTGTGGCTAAGTCCAGTCTCTTTGTCACCCCACAGAGTGCAGCACTCTAGGCTCCCCTTCATTCAGTATATCCTGGAGTTTGCTCAAATTCATGTCTCTTGAGTCAGTGATGCTATTTAACCATCTCATCCTTTCCCACTCACTTCTTATATTGCCTTCAATTTTTCACAGCATCAGGGCTCTTTCCAATGATCTCCATTATTATCATCAAATTCTATCAATAAACAATGACTTAGAGCAAGTGATTTTCCCCCAAGTCCCATGTTTAGCAGGTGGAGGTGACTGGGGACCACACTGTCATCTTTTCACTTTCTCACGTCACAACACACAGGCAGTTGGGCTCTTGGTTTGCATGTATGTAACAGGGATCACATCAGTAGCTGTGATGACCCCGTGCTTGCAGTGGTCATTGCTGTTACTAGTAGAGAAAAATATTTTGTCTTTGCATGACAGCAGTGACCCTAGAAAGTTGATTTTATTCACTCGTTCTGCTCTGTCTATAAACATTCATTTTTAAAGTCCTTTACAATTAGCAGAGACAATGTAGTCACCAATTAACTATCTCAGCAGATGGACTGATATGAACCACTAACATATCAGTAACTTACACTTTCAAAAGGAAAAAGGCAATGATTAAAATCATGTTTAAGTTCAAATTGCTCCACATAAAATAAAGAATGTAAGAATGTGTTTATCAAAAAACTCCTTTCCTCTGGAATCTTGAATAAATGTAATTGGAAGTGTTTAAGACAAAACGACACAAGGACTAAAGATTTAGGGTGGAAAAATACCTAACCCCCAACACCTGAAAATATCTAAAAGATTATCTAGTATAGAATGTAGTATAGAATGAACAACCTTTTAGTTGCAAAATAAAAATATCAATATTGTGAGATAATTCATATAACAGCTTTTTTAATTTTTCAAAGACATATTTCCAAAGAGATTATTTTAGGTACTTTACAGTCATGTAACACAGCTGATTAAATGTTTTATCTACAAGTATAAATAAAAAGTACTTTACAGATAGAGAAATTGGAATATTGGTTCTAGGAAATTCATAACTGGATAGATATTCTTTAACTCTGACTGCATTTATCTGAACCTTTATCATCTGAAGCATTTTTTTCACAGCCTAAGATGAGATGAAAAAGAAATGTTTTTGTTGTTTCATAAAATAAATTTTGTAATTAATTTCTTTGTCTTACAATTTCTTTTGTGAAATTAATTTTTATTGGAATATAATTGCTTTAGAATATTATGTTAGTTTCTGCTGTATAGCAAAGTGAATTAGCTATACATATACATATATACCCTCTTTTTTGGATTTGCTTGCCATTTAGATCACCAGAGAGCACTGAGTAGATTTGTCCATGCTATACAGTAAGTTCTCATTAGTTATCTGCAATTTCTTTTCCTTACAAATGTCAACCAAGAAAGTAAAGGCGATTATTGTTACTAGCCTGTTTCTTCTTCTAAGATATCATTTGGCTTAAACCCAGTCAACAAAGTATTGTAGGAGACAGCTCTGCTGTCCCTGTCTGTATTATAGCTTCAGAGTTAAAAGTTTCATCAGACTGATTCATCTTAGCCACACCACGTAAGAATCCTGGTAACTAGAAAATGTTTGTTTCTACCTTCTGGAGTTGCGATGAATTGGACTCAGACACTTGTGGTCTTATTCTGGTCCGAGGTTTCTCAACTTTGACATGATTGGCACCCTGAGCTGGATAAGTACTTGTTCTGAGGGCTGACTTGTGCCTTATAGTATGCTTAGCAACATCTCTGATCTCTGCCCCCTGGGTACCAGTAGCACCCCTGCCCCATATTGAGACAACCAAAACCATCTCCAGACATTAACCAAATGTCTCTGAAAGACATTCCTCCATTCAAGAACCACTGTCCTATTGTGCCCCTATACAATTGACTTCTAGAGCAGGATTAGCTACTTCTTCTAAACTCTGTAATCCTGAAACCTAAGAGAATATTTCCTCGAATTTCAAATTAATACCCCCATTGGAGCATCGATAAAACCCAACTCCACGAGCTGCTGTACATACCTTTCTGCGACGAACCTTTGCTGTCCATGGTGGTGATGGTTTCAAGAAACACACTTCACCAGGAAGCTCTTGTCCTATAGCTTTCTCTTCCCCAGATACCGGCTTTATAAGGCTTTGACATCTTCATGAATATATTTAATCAGGCATTCCCTTCCCTTTTGCCAGTCATCTATTTCCGTCATTGAGATTACCCCCATAATTTCAAACATTGAATGGTATTCTATTTCTTATTCATATTCAGGAAGACATACTGGCCAGAAATGAACGTCTAGGAAGGATTTTGATTAATTAGACCAAAAGGAAATGAGAGAGATAATGATGGTGAGATCTGGAGACTAGTTTGGGTTAGAGGAACTATAAAATTATAGCAGTCATTTATTGTAACATTTACCTTTATTTCTCTGCAGTTTCTTGAATATAGCATTATCTTTCACTTAGGTGTCTCATGTATTATCAAAGAGTATTTTTTCTCATTCAAAATTGCTGGCTGAAGTCAAGATTTCAAAACTTACACACTAAATACTAAGAAATATAGAATAAGGATGAGTAAGTAAGATTTTCAGTTCCTGTTATACTCTCAATGCATTTTCCTCATTTTTTTCTTGATTTTTACACATTCTGTTTTGTCCTTTCTAAAAGGATATATCTCTGTGGTATTTTCTCTGTGCATTTTCATGTAAAACTTTTGATTTTAACATGTATGTAAAGTTATATTTTTCATCCCCAGTTTACAGATTGAGAAACAGTGGGATGGCGAGTTTAAATGTCAAGGATATAGAAGAAGTAATTAGTCAAGCTAGATGCTGAAAGGTTTATCACTTCAAGAGGAATCAGGAGGGATGTGAAGAGGGCTAGAACATGAATCCTGTAACATACGTTGCCCTCTCTTCTACAATGAACACAAAAGTCACCCCTAACTTTAGGGAGTTCACACTGGGGAAGTGACACAGTGGTTTTCAAGGGCAAACACACACGCACACAAACCCTGGTAAATGATGCAGTAAAACAAAATTCTAAACAGTCATGTTCACTTTCCTTAAGGGTAAGGTTACACAAACTGTTATTAACTTATGACTTATTAACTTGGCCACTCTAGGGTCAAGGTGACAAAAATTCATCTTTCATGGGCTCAAAAGTTCCACTTGCCTTTTAGAGATTTCCTGAATAAAATGACTGTAATGAATATAAGCCAAGTTGTTGATGACTTTCTTTAATTTTGAAGTTCATGCATCTCAAGCAGCCTGTGACCTTTAGTTTCAAATTTACCATATGTCTCTCAGAGTAAATTGACAAGTGAGTTGTATTAAGAAAATAATCTCTTTTTATTGCATTCATGTTTTCTATAGTTTCTCCTGCTGTATGTATGCTTTAGCAATTATCTAAGTGCACTTATGGGGACTTAGAAATCTTAACAAAGACTAATGTCACTTAAAAACTATCCTCCTAACTGCCTTATGTTAAGCAATACTGATTTTGCATCAAATGAATCAAGTATGACGCTATATAGACTCTATAAACTTAAAGCTGGGTCAAAATCCCATACTCTCATGCTTGGTATCTGTTTTTCCCAGGACAGTGAAAGTCTGAGTTGTTGAGAGCAGTGCCATTTGTAAAGAAATTAATGCTGCCCCAATTTCCCCTCTTCTCCTGGAAACTTAATAATAGGAAAATCTGCCCTACGAATTGAAAACTTAATCTTAAAATTTAAAGGTGCTGCACCTTTTGTAGATAGCCAGTAAAAAGGTAATTTAAAAAGCCTAAGTGGTTTATTCAGTGGAGGCCAACTGATCTATTTGATTCCAAAGAGGTCCATGTTTCTCTGTAAAATGTCTTGTGTGTTTTCACGCTGCTTCACAGCCCTATATTTTCTGTTAAAGGGATACTGCAATAGCTAAATAATGCAAACTGCTGCTGCTGCTAAGTCGCTTCAGTCGTGTCCAACTCTGTGCGAGCCCATAGACGGCAGCCCACCAGGCTCCGCCGTCCCTGGGATTCTCCAGGCAAGAACACTGGAGTGGGTTGCCATTTCCTTCTCCAATGCATGAAAGTGAAAAGCGAAAGTGAAGTCACTCAGTCGTGTCTGACTCCTAGTGATCCCATGGACTGCAGACCACCAGGCTCCTCCGTCCATGGGATTTTCTAGGCAAGAGTACTGCAGTGGGCTGAAATAATGCAAAAAGGCATATTTTACATAAAAAATCAAAACTGTCTTATCTTTCTTTCTCATATGTCACTGCCTATCCACCTTAATTTTTGTATGTGCTCTTTTGCAGATCTTCCTCATTATCAAAACTTGCCATTACATTAAAGCAATCAAGAGATTCACTAAGAATGAACTTGTCTGTTTCTATTGACAAATATTCATTCATTGTCATTTTGGGGCTGAGAGTTTAGGATTAAACTTGATGATTGATTTCTGTCAAGTAGCTGAATAAATAGCTCAAATAATGTTCAATTCTCCATGATATTTTTAGTTCCTAAAACTAACAGATATATTTGCCATCCTTTCTAAGAGCCTCTGATACTAAGTAACATCAGGTTGGATTTCATCCCTAATTAAAAACAGAGATTATATGCTCTTTATATTTTCTTTTGTTTATCTATTTTTAAGATTGGAATAATATTTTTTTCGTTTTTCCTTAATGACACAGAAATATTTAAAATACGTCACATGACTTGAAAGTTGCCTGGATGTAGTATGGAATATTAAAGAGCTAAAGAAATTTAGATGGTTAAAATCATCAGAATAAATAGATCACAAGGACATTTCAACTTACATTAGTAATGAATTGTCTTTTCATCATTATTATTTTTGATTAAAGTATAGTTGACTTATAAAATTAGTTTAAGATGCATAATATAATAATTAGATATTTTTAAGCTGTGATCCATACAAAGTTATTACAGTATAATAACTTTGGCTATATTCCCTGCGCTCTATATTACATCTCTGTGACTTATTTATTTTATAACTGAAATAAATAATATTTGGAGTTTGTACCCCAAGTCCCCTTCACCTGTTTTGCTCATATCCCCACACCCTCCCCTCTGGCAACCACTAATTTGTTCTCTGTATCTGTGAATTTGTTTTTGTTTCACTGTATTTGTTCTGTATGTTTTCACTTATATAGTTAGTGATGGTCTTTAATTTGGAAATGACTACAGGCATAGTGTTATGGACTGAAAAATTTCAAAAGATCCGACAAGAAATTGAATCTGGGACATGCTCATTGTAGTGCGTTAGCAAGCTAAATAACACACCCACCAATGCCATGAGAGTTCTGAGGCCAACCATAAAAGGTCAAAAGTGGACAGTGGCCCAATTCCTAGAAATCTGTCCCCTCTCAAAAATAGTTGGAATAATACTCCCACTCTTTAGCCTATGAAATTACCCAGACCGTAAAAACTAACCAGCCCATATTTCAGGGCCTCTCACCTTCTGGGGGGACTTCTCAGGTGGTGTTAGTGGTAAAGAACCTATCTACCAACACAGAGACATAGAGATGTGGGTTTCATCATGAATCGGTAAGATTCCCTGGAGTAGGAATTAGCAACCCAATCCAGTATTCTTTCCTGGAATAGTCCACTGATAGAGGAGCCTGGCTGGCTACAGTCCTTGGGACTGCAAAGAATCGGACATGACTGAGTAACCGATCACATAACACAGCACCTTTTGAGATGGCCCACTATGTTGAGTGTGCTTATCTCTAAATAAATCCATTTCTCCTCTTCAAAAGAAAATCAGACAGGATATGTGTTGTTTTTGTTTGTTTGGGTTTTCTGTTTTGTTTTGTTTTCATTTTTGTTGTAGTATAGCTGATTTACAATGTTGTGTTTCAGGTGTACCACAAAGTGAATCAGTTATCCATATACATATATCCACTCTTTCTTAGATTCCTTTCCCATATACACTATTAGAATGTATTGAGTAGAGTTGCCTGTACTGTTTTTGATATAAAATATCAGAAAATGTAAAGAGTGCGTTGGAGAAAAGATGGATCATAATGGGGCTTTCTTGAATTACATTGTTTGCAGGATAAACAAAAGCAGTGATTTGATTACATTCTGTTATTTACATTAACTTCATTTGTATTAAGACATATATTTTTTCCCCATAAGTTCAATGCTTGTCTCTTTACTAGGGCTTTGCAAATCATCAGCTTCTCTAAATAACTCCAGAATACAAGTTCTTGATTTGTCAACAGTGTCTTGAGGGCATTTGCTCCTTAAATAAGAAAGCAATACTGGAAGCATTTGGAAATGGAAATTTCCCCTGTAATTCCATGTTTCTTTTTCTTTTTCTGCACTTACAGGATATTCACATCTTCTGATCTAGATTCATGAGTTGTGTTAGCTTATTCTATGAGTTTCTTATCATATAGGTGTTTTGAATCATCTATACCTTTGGACAAGTTTTAATGCCTAGTATAAAATAATGCCAGATCCAAGGATGATGTGCCTAAAGATTTCAGAGATTTTCTCCTTGAGATTTCACTTTTTCAAGTAAAAGCATCAAATATTTGGCTGTATGCTAACATTATGTGGGGCAGATTATTACCTTGCAAAAGATTCTTCATATTTAGATATTGTTGTGTGTATTCCTGTCTACAGGCAAGTGGATCTGAAGCATACATACTTCAAGTGAGAGTCAGAGGGAAAAGGAAAGATTGTCTAATAGGAAATGGGACTCAGCCTTATCTTCTTCCAGGGATAATTTTAAATTTTATCATTAGACTGAGTACCATCAAACAGAACAGGAAGCTGCAGCAGTAGACCAGGGTCCTTAAGGCTCCCTAATCTGATATGTTTCATTTCTTTAATCATTCCATTGTGGTGAGAGAGTAGGAGTCCCTAAGATGAGGCGGAAGCCTTCAAGGGAAGTCAAGGTGCTTGGAAACTCAATCTGTGACGATCTCAAGAGAAGAATTTTGATATTGTAATAACTCATAGAGCCATAGATGTGTTGATGAGCTATCTCTCCTGTCTTTTTTCACTGTTCATCCTTTCCAATATATAGAAAGAATTCAGATTTGGAAATAGGGTTGGTTCTCCACAGGAGATAATATCCTCCAGTTCTAGTCT